TTCGGAGCATTTTAAATTTTTGCGCGCGCGTAAACGCGCGGACGAACGCGCACGCGCTCATTTGCGCACTTTTATTGACCTCAACTTGACCGGACGGATATTGATCTTAATCATGATAATTATGAATAGGAAATAACTTTCCGTTACGAAGATATGATCATAAGTTGATTTTCACAAAATGGCGCATGGATGACGTCACGATCAATTTGACTCTCTAAAAAGTCACGCAGTTCTAAGTTAGACTAAGATCTATCATCATGGCAAGTTTCATGATAATGGCATTATTCAGTCTTGAGATATCCTGCGAACAAATTCGAGGAAGAATAATAATAAATAAATAAATAATAAAAATCTTGACGAAATCAAAAGGTGATACGTCTACGTACGTATCACCTAACTAGACTTTAATTCGTCACTTAGACGAATTAGGTGATACGTATGATAATGGTCTACATAACGAATAATGCATTACACGATATATTATTTTGTAAACTGCTTCTCCCATTCATATGCTTCTCCCATTATGATCTATTCATATGTCAAGATTAAATTGTGTCTCCTTGATCATCATGGATCTAGGGAAGATAGATTGAAACAATATATGACCTTCGACCCTGTGCAGTAACCAGTTACACATTTGACTCTAATTTACATCATGAAGAACACCTTTTGACGATTTTTATCTTATTCAAAGAAATGAAAATGTAATTGATAAATGATTATCATCATTATGATAATGATGATCATGATGATCATGATCATGATCATGAGCGCGATCATGACAGCTTATTGAAAAAATGAGGGTTGATTTAGATAGCATATAGTCTCAGCTACAACATACTAAAAAATCAACAAAATCCAAGCCGAAATAACGGCGATATTGCTCGCAAAAGACAGGAATGTAGACTCCAGATTTTAGAAAAAGTCATCTCCCATAGGGATTACACGCAAAAAGTAATGGATTAAGTGAAAATAGGGTAATAATAAAGTAAAAAGGGTTATTTATGACATTATTTGCGAATCTACGTGTTTAAATAATCAAAGGAGATGGTACAGTGAAGGTCAAAAGGAAAAAAAAGTGAGGAAAAAAAAGTGTTGGAGACACCCGGACTCGAACCAGGGATCTCGAGGTTGGAAGTCAAGTGCGTTACCGATATACCAAAACATCTCCCATAGCGATTACACGTAAACGGGAAATGGAATTCAGAAATCCTACTTTGCAAGTGAAATATGAGCTTGATCCTGGCATCTAATCGAAAAATAAAAGGCACACTTTTGATAGCTCATTGTCTCAGCTACAACATATCCAAAGCTCAGCGAAAACAAAGCTAAAACAACGGAGATTTTGCTCGCGAAAGACAGGAGTGTAGGATCCAGTTTTGAGAAAAAGTCATGTCCCATAGAGAATACACGCAAAATGCGAAAAATTGACATGCCTCCTTCAATCGCAAAAATACACCCTGATACTTTTGTCAAAAATAAAAATTGTGAATATTACATTTGTAGAAAATTGTCTCAGCTAGAACATATCAAAATTAAAAAGAAAATTGATCCACATTTACAGAGATACAATCAATTTTCCAAAAATATGCTGACGTCATAATATGCAAATTGAATTTTTGAGTTTGGAGGCCATTATGATGACGTCATGAGTTAATTGAGGATAAAATGAGACATGAAATCATATCTCCGACTCATAATCTATCCAAATATGAAAAAATATTAGGAGTTTCTATCTATTCTAAAGAGTTACAATGAATTTTATGTAGGCATGTTTTTGCCCATGTATTGTGGATAAAGATAACGTAAATCCGCGCGTGCTGTCAACTTTGACGGACGCTCGTTGCGTAAATAAAAGGTGAACAAATTATCAAAATGCTTGGAAAAATGTACCGAATATGATGACAGAAAAAAATCGGCGATTCTATGTTGCAAAATGCCAGTACGCGCGAAAACGCGCGCGCATGCGCGTGTGCGTAATTTTTTTATCAAATGCTCCATATGGCCTGAAACGTATGCAAAAAAAATTTGGGATGATTTAGAGCATTTTAAATTTTTGCGCGCGCGTAAACGCGCGGACGAACGCGCACGCGCGCATTTGCGCACTTTTAGTGACCTCAACTTGACCGGACGGATATTTATCTTAATCGTGATAATTATGAATGAGAAATACTTTTCCGTCATGAAGATATGATCATTAGTTGATTTTCACAAAATGGCGCCTGGATGACGTCACGATAATTTTGACTCTCTAAAAAGTCATGCAGTTCTAAGTTAGACTAAGATCTATCATCATAGCAAGTTTCATGATAATGGTTTTATTCAGTCTTGAGATATCCTGCGAACAAATTCGAGGAAGAATAATAATAAATAAATAAATAAATAAATAAATAATAAAAATCTTGACGAAATCAAAAGGTGATACGTCTACGTACGTATCACCTAATAACAATCTTGACGAAATCAAAAGGTGATACGTTGACTTCGTTACGTATCACCTAATAATAATAATAATAATAATAAAGAAAAATCTTGACGAAATCAAAAGGTGATACGTTGACTTCGTTACGTATCACCTAAATAGATAATTTATGCAATTTAAAAACATTTAACAATTTGAGGTCATGAAACAGTGTATTAGTATAAGAACGATGTGGCTTGAAAGTTATAGCACGTACAGCCATCTTTTGAGTATAAAATATACAATTCAAGTGTGATTTATAAGTACAACCCAAAACCTCGATGCCATATGTAATATGTGGCTGTATCAGAACTTTATACAAAATCATTATGTTTAGGGGCAAAGTGCCGTAATTTAAGGAGGATACCGACCTTTCTCCGTATACAGTCATTAACAGATTTTGTAAGTGAATTCCAAGTTAAATGTATGTTAATGGTAATACCAACAAATGTCGCTTCCTCCACTTCTTTTAATTATGCCTCAGATATTTTTAATCTCCCTCTAAGCACGGTCTTTCTAATACAACTACTAATGAACATGAAATTGTTTTTAGACGCATTGATAATAAGCTTATTTGCAGTGCACCATTTCTGTATTGATTTTAAATTTTCGATTACTTCACACTCATCTATTTGATATACACCTTTGGGAAAATTATGACAAATATTAGAATCATTTGCAAATAGTCTGATATTGAAATAATTTGTCACAGTTGGCAGGTCATTTATAGAAATAAAAAAACAGAGTTGGTCCTAAGACAGAACCTTGTGGTACACCACATTTGATATATCTACTTTATGATGATGACTCCATATATTTCACAAACTGCATTCTGTCACTAAGATAGCTTTCGAGCCATTTTAGTGCATGTCCTCGGATGCTATAATAGGATAGCTTTTTAAATAATATGTTATGGTTTATTGTGTCAAAGGTCTCTTGAAAGTCAAGAAACACACCAAGCGTAACACATCATTTGTCTATACTTTTCAAAACCGTATTCATAAGATTATTTACTGATAATTTAGTACTATTCTTTTTTCTAAAAATGTACTGATGGTGATATAAAATGCTATGCGTTTCTAGGAAACTGGTCAATCGAACATTAACATTTGTTTTAATACTTTACCCAAAATTGGTAAGACAGAAATGGGTCTACAATTCACTGTTTCATGTTTATTAACTTTCTTAAACAGTGGAGTGACTTTAGCAATTTTCATTGGATCAGGGAAATTTCTTGTTTCCTATGAAAGATCGAAGATATGTGTTAATGGTTCAGCCAAAATAGATGCACCATCCTTAATCAGGCGAACTAGAATGTTCTCGTAACCACAAACTTTCTTCTCATCTAGAGCCAACGTGTAGTCATTAACTTCCTTCATTGTGACCGGTTTCCAAAAAAGGGATTGATCTACACTATTATTCTGATAATCTTCCAAAAATGTGAGTACATAAAGTATTGCTGATGCTAGATTTGGACCGATGTTTACAAAGAAAATCATTAAATACATTGGCAATTTCAGAATCAGTTGTCAGAACCTCAACATTTCCATTAATACGCCTTATCATTTTTTTCTACCTTAGAACCTTCGTTACCATTATTTCTCCAAGATAGTAATTTATTTATGATGTTCCACGTTTTACTAGTGTTATTGTTGTTCTCAGCTAACATACCACTGCAATTATTTATATTGGTATTGCGAAGAACAGTCGTTAATGCGTTTCTGTAGCTCCGATATTTGTGTACATCACTTACATCAAAATTAGATTGTATTACTTTTAAAAACAATTCCAATTTTTTCCGAATATTAAGCCATTCGAAAACCCATATTTTGTATGGAACATGTTTTACATGATGTTCTTCCACACTTGCATAATGACAATGATAACGCTCACAAGTTATTTTGCACCTCTTCCCAGAACATTCTCTTAAAAACTTTAGTTGATTATGATAATATTTATACATAAAAATGCTTGTATCAAAAAGCAAGATTAATTTCATCCCCGAATTTAAACCCTTAAGATTGATCGAAAACTTACTGTAATATATAAATCCCCTCCCCCCATTTCCGTATTCTCTATCACAAATTAGAAGAAAAAACATTTACATACAAATTGTGGAGGCATGATTCCTGATATCATACAAATAATGAAGCTTGTGATTAGGAGTACCGGTTTGTAATATTTACAAAACAGAGTTCTCGAAAGATCACAGAGTAAAGACATCCAACAACAACAAAAATGAAATAATAACAGACTTTTATAGCAGGGGCGGATGTAGAAATTTGCATAAGATTAGCGCAGACAAAATTCATACAATTTTGAGATATGCAAGCATGGTAAAAAAAACAGGAGTAATAAAAAAAAAAAAACTTGTCTAGGTACTAGAGGAATTAGTATAAAAATTAATGAACAAATGCAATAAAACCAATAGCTAAAAGAAGGAGGATTAATGTTTATACTTGTGTCCAAAACGTATGCATCTTACGTTCCCAAAACAGAGGAGGTGGGTAGGTTTTACCCCCTCCTAAATCACTTGTGTTCAGACTGGAAGCTTATTTCTTATCCGTCGTCTCTTGATGAGGATCGCTACGATGAAGAGATGGACGGTCATGAGGGCTTTGATGACGCCTCCGATGATGAACACCTTCGTGAACGACTGGGTGATATCATACAGATAACCTACAAAATGATCATGATAACAGAATAATAATTATCAGTCAGGGAGTTTTAATGCTAAACGACAAAGCGTAGGAAGTGATAGAATGATAAAAAACAAAGAATAACATTAGAGAAGATGATACAAAAAGAAGAAACAAAGACTAACATAAGGAAACACAGAAAGAGGAAGTGATAGAATGATAAAAAACAAAGAATAACATAAGAGAAGGTGATACAAAAGGAAGAAACAAAGAATAACATAAGGAAAGTCAGAGAGAGGAAATTTTTGCATCGAAGTGCCGCGCATGCGCATTACCTACTAAAACACGCCAAAACATTACTGAGCTTTTCAGTCGGTGATGTTTCCACACAAGTGTAAACGGGTGCGCGAAACATCGCGATTTTTCAAAATGAGGTATTTGACAGTATAAATGCGCCTGGGTGACCATGAAATTAACCTTGAGACACTGGTTTCTCCATTATTAGGCGCAGTTATACTGTCAAATACCTCATTTTGAAAAATCGCGATGTTTCTCGCACCCGTTTACACTTGTGCGGAAACATCACCGACTGAAACACTCAGTGATGTTTTGGCCTGTTAAAGTTGGTGATGCGCATGCGCGGCACTCCGATGCAAAAACTTTCCTCTTTCTGTATTTCCTTATGTTATTCATTGCTTTTTAATCATTCTATCACTTTCTCTTTTTGTCTTTCCTTATGTTATTCTTTGATTCGTCCTTCTATCACTTTCTCTTTCTGTGTTTCCTTATGTTATTCTTTGTTTCTTCCTTCTGTATCACCTTCTCTTATGTTATTCTTTGTTTTTTATCATTCTATCACTTTCTCTTTCTATGTTTCCTTATGTTATTCTTTGTTTCTTCCTTCTATCACCTTCTCTTATGTTATTCTTTGTTTCTTCTTTCTATCACTTTCTCTTTCTGTCTTTCCTTATGTTATTCTTTGTTTCTTCCTTCTATCACCTTCTCTTATGTTTTTCTTTGTTTACATCGTTCTATTATTTTCTTCAAGGACGACATCTAGCTCCGCTCCCAAAGTCACGTGACCTAACATCGCGATGTTACAACTGCGAGCGTTCATACTTGCCAAACACGCCAAAACACGCCAAAACACGCCAAAAGATCACACTTCGTTTTGGAATGTTTCGGGCTTGGCATTTTTTGGCGGTAAAGCGTAGTTGCCCTTGGTAACATCGCGGTCAGGCTCCGGTTTGGCATTTTTTGCCGTGTTTGGAACACAGTGTAAATGCCCCTATTTTCTGTCATCAGCATTTCTAGTGAGCTGCTAATACGCCATTCCAGTACACTACTTAATGGTGTTAGTCATGGGACACAGCTGGCGGAGCCGGGGGCGGGGGTCAAGGCCGCTTCTAACACTTTGTCAATTGAGAAAGGTGCCCACTCATACTTAAGATTAATTCCAACTTTATTTTTTCCAATAGGTGCCCGTTTCACAGTCTTTTAAGTGCCTCTCACCACCTCTAATACATGCCCCTTCACCGATGATAATTGCCCCTATACAAATTTGAGAGGCGTCTATTTAACTTTCACAAGTGCCCTTTTCTTTTGTTATAAGTGCCCTTTCCTCTTCTGATTGGTGCCCCTTTTCATATTTTATGATTGACCCTTGTCACCTCTCATAAGTGCCCTCTATTTTTAAACGCCTCTTTTCATTCTGATAAATGCCTCTTTTCTTTTTTCAATAAGAGCCCATTTTCCTTTGAAATAGGTGCACCATTCCAATCTCAGGTGATTACTCCTTTTCAGGTAAAGAAATGCCTCTTACCACCTCTGATAAGTTCCCCTTTACCTAATATAATTGTCTATATTCAAATCTGAGATTCGTTGGTTTTCTTTCAGTTTTAATTGCCTCTTTTCATCTCCGGTGAGTGCCCTTAAGAAAATATGAGAGATGCCCCCTTTAACTTTTAATGGGCTCCCGTTTTCATTTCTTATAAGTGCCCCTTTTATTTGGACACGTGCCCATATCCTTTCTAATTATGTATTGTCCTTGAGTTGATTTTCAAAAACTTCACAAGTGGACTACAATTTACGCACCTGTGAATGCTCCTGCACATGTCGCGCCTAGTCCTCCCATGAAAAAATTTAGAGCAATGGCCATGTCAGCATTTTTATCGTCATAGACTGCATCCTTGAAGAAACTGCACGGAATAGCATCCTCGATGAAAAAGGAGAACCCTTGTACAAAGGCCAAGATAGCTAGCACCTCGTAGGCAGAACTGACGAAGTCTAACAGAAAGGATATCGTGCATATGAGACATACGGTGATGTAGATAACATAGACGTTGGTCCCTTTGCGGACGAGGATGATGAAAACAGTTCGACCGACGATGCCACCTATTCCGCCGATTGTGGAGAGGAAGATTGCTTTGGAAGGAGGGATGCCAAGCTGTTCAGCGTGGGGGACCAGAAAAAGCATCCATGCATAAACCATGTAATATTGCAAGAAAGTAATAGGCAAGGCGAAGATAATTAGACGTTCGTTTAGTAGTCCGCAAGACCCTTTACAGGTCTGAAAGAAGGGTGTGGTCCACGATGAGCGTGCATTTGTTGATGTCTCATGCTTACTTTTGCAACGGCTCTCGGTTTGAATTAAACCTCTTTGCTCCGAAATGCACTCTCCACTATCATCCTCCTCAGGTTTATGAATCCTTACTTCCATTTTCTCTAAGAATTTCTTTTCAGATTGGCAATTTCGTTTCTCCTTCACCTCATCATGAATTTCGCCTTCATTTGTAGCGGCGTTTCTTAATGACTTGCGTATCGTTGTACCGCACACGACAAGGTTCAGAGCGATACCGCCAAGGATAATAAACGCCCCTGCATAGCCATATGCTTCAAAAGACCTTTCCGTTACAATAGGGAGCAGCATGGATCCGGCGGTGTAGCCATATAACGTGATTGTGTTCACCAAAACGAAATTTTCCCGAAAGAAATCATTCAATGCAAGGATTGTGGGCATGTAGGCCATTGACAAGCCAGCACCTGCGGAAAAACAGTGATGATGATAATGATTTAACCATATTACTATTAGTTTCAGTAATGTTTGTCTTCATACTTGTTCATATTTCAGTTTAACTTTTTTTTAATTATTCCAAAAAGTGAATGGTAGAAGAGAAGGGTGAAATATTGATGAAATATTGATGAACCTATGGTGAAATCAGTCATAGGCCCCGTAGGATAGTTAATTTTGTTACAGTCTTTAAATGGTTGGAACGAGCAATTTATGTCAATCACAGAAATATCATTCGTATTCCACCTCCCCCCCCCCCCCCCCCAATGATGGAGTAACTTTCTTCATGGTGATGTAACGAATTTACTTTATTTTAATAAGTTTTCATTACGTGTACAAACCTGCTTTATATTTAGGTTTGGCAAAAACTGCAACAACAACAACAACATCAAAACAATCACAACAATGAAGTCATGTTTATCGGACGGGATTGAGAAGTCAGTCGTTAGTGATTTTTTTTCTTTTAGGGAAATGCAGTAAAAGCCCACATTCCGAGCGCCCTTAACGTGCGACGAGCATGCATGTCGGAACCCCTCGCGACCAAAGCCATCTATACACAGAGTTTGGCCAACTTGGTTTCACTGGGTCACAACATGGTGTTTATTATTTTGTTTGTGCTTGCCCAACAAAGCAGTAGTCGCCATATGTTGTCCAACGCAAACCGGGTTGGCCAAACTGTCCTGATCAATAGCACTGCTCGCGACAAGTCATTAATCAGACCAAGGAGTTTTAAGAGCTGGAGTCCAAACTACAAACACATTTTTCCATGCAGCTGCCGTTTTCTAAGGTTGCACCATGGACCCTTCTATAAATGGACTAATAATGAGAGTCTTTCTTTGATCACATCATGACCACCACCACCTGATAGTAGGGACTTTTAGATTCGCACGAAGACAATGTGGATTGCTACGTTCGACGTCCTTTTAATGCACTGCCTTGAATGGACGTCATACCTATCAGTCCACGCAAATCTAAAAGTCCCTATTATGTAAGTTGATGAGGACATTCATTTGACGCGACAATAATGATTATGTAATCACGCATCATCACAGACAAAAGACCTTTTACATTTCTTCAGATTCTTTGGGCTGACTGGCGGCGGTCGTCATGAGATCAAAGCTTGGAAGCTCATATTTTGATATGTAAACTTCTGAATTTGTTACATAGATTTTTAAATATTTTTTGAAATATTTTTTTTCTTCAAACTTGCTAAGCTCTACCCCAAAACCTCCAGATCTCATTCCCCTTGTGACATCACCTGTTTCAAGTATTCAAGTATTCAATTTATTTCACATCACTTTAAAAACACATCAAAAGATATACAAACAAATCATAAATTAAAACAATATAAATATATCCACAAAAAAAAAAACATTCATTTACATTGTACTGATGAAAGAAGGATGAAGGATGGAGGATGTGAGGGATCAACAAAGGCCATTGGCCTGTCAAGGTTGATCCCCTATATTTCCACCCTTCAAAAGAATTACATTATACAAAATAAAAAAAATAAAATAAAAACAATCAAACAAACAGATAATATAACATAGCATAATCACATAAAAACACAACATAATTATTTACATAAATCTCATAAAAGGCAATTAGATCAAATAAAACTACTCACAATTAAGAAGATAACATTTATATTTTTTCCTGAATGTAAAAACAGTGGATATTTCTTTTAATACGTTTGGCAACTCATTCCAAAGCTGTGGGCCTTTAAAACTTACTGTAGTTCTTGAAAAATTAAAAATATAAAACGGTACATACATTTTATTGGAGTTTCTTGTTTTATATTTATTAATGTTGCAATTATATTCGAAATAGTCATGAAAGTTATTGGGCAATAGTTGTTTAGAATAAGAAAACATAAACGATGCTAGTTGTAATTTATTTATATCAAATATATTCAATATTTTTAACTTTTTAAATAATTGTTGGGTATGTGCTAAATAGTTTGATTTGGTAATTGCTCGTATTGCACGTTTCTGTAGTAAAAACAATTTTTGTGATAAATAAAATGAGCATCCACCCCATACAATATTAGAATACATAAAATGTGATAGAATCATACAGTTATACAAATTTGTTAAAATCTTCAGAGGTAAAATGTGTTTTAAAATATTAAAGACTCCAATGGATTTAGATATTTTTAAAGCAATGTAATTAACATGTTCCTTCCAGTTCAAGTTTTCGTCAAAGATTACTCCAAGAAATTTAGTACTGGTTTCTCTCTTTATACTTAGATCATTAAGTTTAATATTTATTACATTATCTTGTATTCTTCAATTCCTACTCTTAAATATCATATAACATGTTTTATCGCGATTAATGTAGAGTTTATTGGCTGTAAACCAAGTTTGTATGCTTTTCATTTCTGAATTTAATAGATTATTTAATGCAACTGGATCTTTACCTGATAAAAATAAACTTGTGTCATCTGCAAATAAAATTACTGATAAAATATTGCTAACATATTGCAGATTTATTTATTTTTATTTATTCAAGTCTTCTTTATACAGGGTGGCCCTTTCAATAACGAGTATTGCTCTTCCAAGGGGCCCTGTCTATACAATTAAAAACATGTAAAACATTGCACATTAATATGGTATACATACAAATAAAACCGATATACAAAGTAACTAAAATTACAACAAGAAATACGAATACAATATATGAAATATTAAAAAAAAAAAAAAAAAAAAAAAAAAAAAAAAAAAAAAAAAGTTTAAGAATAAATATTGCAAATGAAAGAAGAAGAAGAAAAAAAAAAAAAAGTGTTTGTCAGAGGGCGTTTTGGATACTGAGAAGCTTGCATTGCCTCTTAAAGGACAATAGGGACACACTAACACGTACATTAGGAGAGAGGTTATTCCACATGAGTGACCCTTGGTAGTGAAGGGATCTTTTGAAATAATCTGTTCGGGGAGTTTTAATGAAGAGTGGAGATTGTGCAGAATGCCTGGTATAAATAGAAATCTTTCTCGGGATAACTATTGGCTTGAGATATAAAGGCGTGAGATTATTTTGAATTTTGTACATATTTAAACAAATTTGGTAATTAATTCTTTGACGTACTGATTGCCAGGAAAGTTCAGTCAACATAGTGATGTGAGGGGTAAAAAAAATCAGCTTTAAGTATGAGTCTTGCAAAACGGTTTTGTAGTTTTTGAATTCTTGAAATATGACACATTGCACTTTGTCCCCAGATAATATTGCAATAATCGATGTGCGGTAAAAACAAACTATTATAAATCATTAACAAAATACGTTTCGGTAAAAGATATTGAATACGTCTGATATAACCAATAGTTCTTGATAACTTATTACATAATGTATTAATGTGGCAGTTCCACCGTAAGCAAGAGTCAATTATCAAACCAAGATATTTAAATTCATTAACCTGTTCGAGTTTGTTGGTGTTTACATACATTTCTAGTTTCTTATTTTTCACTTTAGATTGAGTTCCAATTAACATGCATTTTGTTTTCTTTACATTAAGGGTTAACCGATTATCATCAATCCATGCAAGGATTTTATTCAGTGCTAGCTGTAACTCTTTCTGGACAAGAGAACATGATTTCCCTCGACAAAATATAGCGGTATCGTCAGCGTACACACATAGTTTAAAAGAATTACCAAATTTAATATTACATGCATCATTAATGAATATAGAGAACAATAGAGGCGATATCATACTCCCTTGCGGGACACCTTTCGATATAGGTCTAAAATTGGAAAGACTATCGTTCACCTTAACACATTGTTCACGGTCATGTAAATAATTAGAAAACCAAATAGCCTCTGTTTCTTTTACACCATACGTTGATAATTTAGATAAAAGTAGTTCATGAGAAACAGAATCGAATGCACTTTTCAGATCAATGAAAACATCATTAATATAAAGTAAAAATAAAAGGGGGCCGAGATTAGATCCCTGAGGTACACCTACTGAAATACTTTTATGTTCTGAATTAAAATTATCAACGCTTACATATTGCTTCCTATTGCACAAATAACTTTCAAACCACTGTATTGCATTTCCCCTTATTCCATAATATTTCAGTTTTTTAAGTAACCTGTCAGTCATCAATGAGCCAACTTGACAAAGTGGCATGTTACTTTACCAAAGTTTACCACCTGTTACAATACAACAAACAATATCAACATATAAGTTGCTATGTCAGATATTTAAGACTAAACTAATATTCTAGCATAGACAATGGTATGTAATTTTCCCCAGCTTAGCACACGTTCATAATAGAATTGCAGGGAAATTTTGCTCTATTTCCTTTCGCTTGCCTCCTGTAAAATTAAGCACTGTGTACTGCTCGCGTTATAAGACGAGTGGTAGCGAAAGTAATTTTCATTACGAAATACAATACAATACATGCAGAGCGCCAATCTGACAAAATATTGAAAGGTTACAATTTAGGCCGCGGCCGAGTCTGGCACTGTAAACGCACAAAATTGCGTGGCCGAGTAGGCCTGGCACTGGCCCTTTTCCCACTGTAAACGGGGTCTTACTGATGGCGCATCGTCAACGAAACGGAGTTAAGTCTTTTGTTAACTTTGCTTGTTGCTACGGCAGGCAGCCAGCGAAAACGAATTCGTTTAATCAAATTATGGAAATTCAAGCATTACTTGAAACAAACAGAACTTTGTTATCCCTGACTTATTTTTCCTGATTGAGGTGTCATATGAATTAAAGGGGAGAAAATGAACCTTCTAGGAATGTGATTTTCTCTTTGAAATTCAGATACCGTCCGCAAAATAACGTTCTGGTACCCTTCTTCAATTTTTTTTAATCATTCATGCGTGAAATATGCATCATCTAAGGATCTTAGCTCTACAAATATGTGTAATTTATTAGTTATTATTGTAATAAGGTTATGATAAAACATTGATGATTTTTTTTTTTTTTTTTTTTTTTTTTTGGGGGGGGGGGGGGGGGT